TTTTGATATTTTTGAAATATGGGCTAAGTTATCATGAATTCAGTAATCTAGTTATAAAATTCAAAATGCATGCAAGTATATATTTTGCAAAAATGATAAAACATAACATGTATGTATGTATGTATGTTTGTGTGTGTGTGTGTGTGTGTATTAAGCAAAAACATGATTTTTGTATTTTTTAGAGATTTGGCAGTAAACAAATTAAAATAAAAATTGTATTTTTTAAAGAAAAGATTTTTTTTTTGTTTTTTTGGAAGGAATCAGTTTGTTTTATATTTAAAAAACACATCACGTCTAGGTCATAATTTTAAATATTAAATATGTGAGGATAGAAACAAAAGTGAGGAAATCAAAATTGATTCCGAAGTCAAACATTTGAAAATTTAACTAAAGCCCGTTCAACGAAACACAATAACATGTTTTAAATCAAACAAGATATTAATTTAAAAATAAATTATTTAATATTTGAATTCAACTCTAAAGCAAGTAAACACCAAACCCAAACATAAACCATGAATTAAAAATTAAATCTCAATTAGCAATCACATTCTCAAAAAGTAAAAGTACAAACCTACACAAATTATCAAATAAAAAACAAATATAAGTTCAAATCAATATAATCCATACAATCCAAAAATTATATAAAATAATAAACAAATAAAATTTATCCTAAATTTCATAATATTTTAGCAATTTATCCAAGAAAAGGTTTGAGTTTATAGATGGACCTTTTGAGAGTGTTTGAAATGTCTAAGGTATATTGAAATTAGATTAAAAATGTTACTAGAAAAATGGTGGCGCATGTACTACGTGCCACCACCACTAATGACACGTGGATTCACATATCATCACCAATTAAAGAGTGAAAAACCTGGTGGATCTGATGCTCCTTGGTCTTCTTTTCACTCCTACACTAGTGGTGTTTCTCCATACTCTCTAGAGAGGGAGATTTAGCTCTAGTCCTCTTTTCTTTTCTTTCTCCCTAGGCCAGCGATGAAGATCACTATTATATATAGAAGCAATTCATATAAACAGTTTGTTTTGCTTTGTTTTTTTATCCTCTAAACAGATCTGTTTCTCTCCACCTTGAGTGTTTTCTTCTTCTATTGTTTGCTGCCACTATGGATTGCTATGGGTCTATTACGAAGAGTGTCTAGCGTTGTAGTGTCATCGTCTGTGGGTGCTGTTGGAGCTTATCTCGATGCTTAGTGGAGTTATGATGGAAGAAAAAAAGACATGTTGTTAGTTTTAAGTTTGGGAGTTTGTGATGATGCTAGGTTATTGTCGATGGTGACTTTATGGTTGATTTTGCTAGTGTTTGGGTGTTTATTTGTTGGTGGATTTGCTGCGGGCCTTAAGAGGAGATAACTAATTGGCAACTAAGTTTAGGTTTTGCTTATGAAGGTGCTGGCTAGTTTGGGTTACGGTTGATGGTGATAATAGAAGTGTAGGATGACTTAAAAAAGAAGAGGAGAGATTAATGGTATAATGGTTGGTCGGTGATGGATAAAAGAAAATAAGGATGAGGTTTTATTGGAGAAGGGGGGGAATGGGTCTGCTTTTTTTTTTTCCAGTCTTGGTAAGCTAGCGGCTAGGCTTGTCAAGATGGGGCTCTTCGAGTTTCTTGTGAAAAAGAGTGTTTTAGTGGAGAGTGTGTAAGTTGGAGAGAAAAGGTGTGAAAAAATTATTTGTTTGGCTTTTTTAGTTTTTAGCTCACCCTTTTAATGTACGGTGAAAATACCTATTTATAAGTAAAAACAAGTTTGTTATTTAAAAATGCTTGGTTTTCAAGCAAACTTGGTGACCAAGTAACCTAGAAACAAATTGGTCCCTCAATTTTTTTTTAACATAATTAGTCCTTTGTTTATTTTTTTTCTTATTTTATTTTGTGTTTTCATTTTTTTAAAAAAAGATCAACGCTAACCCAATAAGTAAAACCAACAATTTAAAAAATGATGTGTTAAAAGTTAAACACATTGAAAAAAAATTAAAATTTGAATCCTTTTAAGACAACGCTGAAAATGCTAAAAATAACACAAATACATCAATAATATATTTTTTATTTTTTTATATGTTGAAAATATTAGAAAAAACATGGGATTAAAAATTGGGTTGCAATAATGAAATTGAGATAACTTCATAAAAAAAGAAGCTATGAAGTTAAATTCTCAATAAACTCAATATTAAACGACATAATCAAAAAAAGAATTCAATTAAAAAAGCATCAAAAAAACTTGAGTCAACTTACTAACCCGCAAAACTAGCCACCCAAGTCATGAGACCATGATAATTATATAAAAATTAAATAGATAAATATAAAATCCAATTCTCGATACAATGTTGAAGGATGAATTAGAAAAAATAATCAATTAAAACTAACTTAATTCAACTCAAGTTAACCTATTAAACCTGAGTCATAAAATTAATTTAACTCTATTAAAAAGAAATTATAAAATTTAATATCCATTAAAACTAATGGTAAGCAATAAAATTGAAAAAAAAAACTTTAGGATCTAATTGTAAAAAGACTTAGCATTTTACTGTTAATTGTTATTGTGAAATTCCAATAAATCTTAATATATGTTAATAATAATAATTAATAATAGGAGGGTAAGCTCTTTCTACGGGCCTCTGTGTGTCTCTTTTGCACCAAAAAAGTAAGACCCATTCACTCTCGTTGACAAAAGAAATTAACGATATTTTTGTACTTTGCTTTTTTCTCCTCGGTCGTGAGCTTCGCTATGCTGTTTCATTAATGAGTTCCTTGGGCTTATATTAAAAAAAAAACAAATGACAATATTATTGCAATGAATGCCCTTCTGTAACAACCGTGACTTGCATGAGAATTGATGGTTTTTTTTAAGAAAAATATTTTTTAATTTTTGATATTATTAAATTAAAAATATTAAAAAATACTTAAAATAACATCAACTTAATATTATTTTTCAAATAAAAAATATTTAAAAAATAAAAATTACCATAATATAAATCACGTGCCCAAGATAAAAATATGATAAAGTTTAAGTAGCATGCTTATTTTATTATTCCTACCAATTAATTTTCATCTTTTACCAAAAACATTTAAAAATAAAAAATAAAAAAAGACAGATTTATAAAAAAAGGAAAGATAATTGGAAACCGTTTTCTTAAGACTATTATTTTATATTTCTTCAATTTTCAAAAGGTCATAAAATTATTTTGTCAATTATCTATTTCTTATTTTATTAAAATAAAAATAAAAACTATACGTGATTCATGTGTTTTTTCTTTATCTTCTATTCTTCAATTAAATTACAGACAAACAATGTAAATCACGTAAATCAAACAATCTCTCGGGGTCAAAAATAAAATGCTATAAAATAATTAGAGTTTGTTTTTTTAATGTTTTAAATATATTTTATTTATTTATTTATTTATTTTTAATTAATATTTTTTAATGTATTAATATTAAAAATAAAAATAATAAAATAATAAAATTATTATTACCCTGAACAAGAAGCATTTTAAAAAATAAGAAACAACGGGCTATAGAAAGAAAAGAAGAATAAAAAAATACACACGCAAAATATTACAGGTTTGAGCGCCACAAGCTCACTTATCCACCTCAATGGAGCTTCAAACTTTCCGCCTTCCATATTTGGCAGGTAACCCTTTCCCCTTTCTCAAATTTTATACTTAATGGTAATTTAGTTGCTATTCAATGAAAGGAAGTATCTTTACAAGCGGAGGAAAGTGGACTGATGTTTGTTGGTGGCGGGTTCTGAATAATTAGCTGTATTTGGAAAATTATAATGTATAAATTCAACAATTTTGATTTTTTTTTCTGTTTTTGTAAATCTGGGTTTTTGTTATAATGTCTCTTTCAACTTGTTATAGTAAATTCTTGGACAGTTGCAAAATTTGTTGTGATTGAGCTGTTATCGTTGAAATATATAATTCTTTGGGATAAACAGATTAGGCTTGTTGGTTTGTTCAATTCTTGAAATTTTTGTTGTTTTAATGGTTTCTCAAAGTAAATGTTTTTGTTGAGAAGAATGGTAAAATTGATCACTTAATATCATGTTATGTAATTCAATATTAAGATTATTACAAGATAAATATTTCGATAAGCTATTATTTGATTGGAGGTGCTTTAGTTATTCATGCCGGATTTTTGTGGCATTTGATGTTGTCATGTATGATATTTCTCAACAAGAAAGAAAAAGCTTGCTCTTTTTTTTTTTTTTAAGGGAACATTTTATTTTTGGTGCGGGATCGTCTGTACTAGCAGAAGAGCTATAAGAGGCTTGGTTTTGGTTCTCAATCTGCAGGGTGCAGATATTTTCAGAGGCGTTCGATTTTGCGAAGGCAGTTCTGCACAAAGCGCAGTGGATTTTGTATTTCTTGCTCATATAGTTTAGACAAGGATCCACTGATTGAAAAGTTAACTGATGCACGAGTAATTTATAGTGTTGCGCCTGCCATGGGTCATAACCAGGTATCTTCAGCTGAGCTATACTTTCATATGATGGATGTTCTAATGTGTTATGGAGTCTTTGCAACTGTGAAGGTTTCATTTCTGGGACGTGCCTGTCATGTACTGGGAACAAGATACATCAAGTCTGGCTATGGCTTGTGTTATGAGCATGTCAACCTTTAGAATCTTTTCTTTATTCTATCACAAAGCGAGCAAATTGAACCTGATTTGAAGGGGCTTTGTCCATCCTTTTTTTGTGCTTCTTTAGCATACTTGGGTTCTGAAACTTAAAAAACTTAAGCATACCTAGTCACATTAGGATTGGAAGATCTTGAAATTTAGTACAATTTATGACACTGGAAGAAATGACAACTGCAAGTCCCATTACATAAAGTTGGAATACTGTACAGGGTCAAACAATTTGCAGCGTAGGGAGTAACTTCTTGATTTACCGTGGTGTTGCTTCTTTACAGTTAGAGCATGGGTTCTCTTTGTAGTTTTCCCCCCCCCTTTTACTTGTTCATGGATTTTTTTCCATTTTTTTCACTAACAGGAGGCACATCCCGAATCCTATCTTAGAGTTCCTGCAATTGTGAGTGCTCTTGAAAAGGCAGAACTCACATCAAAGGTAGCAGTCGGATATTTTACTATTATATTTTTCCTTATATATATAACTATAATGTGATGCTCTTATTTATGATTTTCAATCTATGCTCATTTTATCGTCTTATCTTGTCATTTTTATCTTTTTCCCCTAATAGAGCTATAAAACTCGCCATTGTTGAAGTTTTTGTATTTTATCCCTGAAAGTTAACAAATGGCCTTGGAGCTTTCCTCTGATAACTATTATATGATAAAAGAAGAGTGTTCTAGCCATGCTGATGTGTGTGCTCGCATGCATGTGCTCGCACATATAAGAAAATTTCTCTAAAATCATTGGTTTACTGTGAATAGAATTAAGGTTTCTTCTAGAATGACTTGTGTTATAAAATTAAGGGAAGGAATCAGCCTGTGAATATGCTTACATTCTATTTAGTATGCAAAAATCATTCTATCTATATCATATATAAAGTTTTCCTTGCATAATAAAAATTTGTTGGGTAGGATGTATATATAAGCTTTTTCTTTGCAGATTTTATTTTCTATTTTCATGTTTCATGGATCATATTGCTTCCTCTTTTCTTAGCATTAAAACTGCTGTTCTTCTTTACTAGTTAACAATATTAACTTTTACTTTCAGCAAAGCCCTGGTAGAGTGACCATTTTATGTTGCAACGTAGAAATTTTTGGACTCCCAAGCACAATTTTGTTAGTGCAAGTCTTGAGAATGACCTACTCATGCAATCTGTGTAGATCTCTCTGAAAACCTTGCATAACACACACCAATGCTGGGAAAATTGATTTACAAACTGATGAAAAACTGAAATATACTAAAAGGATCATCTGTTTATAACAAATGAAAAATCATGGAAATTTTGAGAAGTTCAATCTCTTATTCCTTTTCAATGGTATGTATAAAGAATGGAACCATTTCTTACCTGGTTAAGTGTATTGAGTACTTTTTTATTTCTGTATTCAGTTTCGCGGTTCTGAGATCATTGAACTTCAAGATTTCAAGCCTGCTTCACCGGATGACATTGCAAATGTTCATGCCAAAGCTTATGTAGCAGGCCTTGAGAAAGTAGTTTTGCCTTGACCTTCTTATCTCTCTGCAGTTTTTTCCCTCCTCTGTTTTTTGTCTTGGCTATTCTTAGGATCATAGAAACATGAAAACATTTTGCAAAGGTGAAAGAGCCTGTTTCATAGATAACCCCTTCTGTTTTATTGTTTATTTCCTTTTCAGGTCACTATAGGTGGTTGCAATCTCTCTCCCCCTGTGTGTGTGTGGGTGTGTGTGTGTGTCTCTGTCTTTTAGGCTAAATACTGTCATTTCAATGACTAATTCTATTGGTCATTCTTACTTAGGCTATGAATCAAGCTTCAGAACAGGGCATTATTTATATCGATGGGTCTGGACCAACATATGCTACTGCCACTGTGAGTACATTTGTTTAGGTGTTTCTGCTTTTCTGTTTTTGGGCTTGTTAATTTTTGCTGACTTTAGAGTATAGATGCAATCTTTTTTTTCCTAATGGCTTTCCGTTTCTTATGATAAAAATAGGATATGTGCTATTATATTATGTTACCTCTCTTGAAAAAAATATCAATGACTGGATATGTATTCCATCATTAGATTGTATAACCACATTCTATGAGGGAGAGTTTGGTGCTTCAATACGAGTTCTTTGTTTTAATTAATAATATGTGCTATTTGTCATCCTCTTTCATATCAAGACATTATGATGCAGACGTTCCAGGAGTCACTTGTGGCAGCTGGAGCAGGACTAACCTTGGTCGATTCAGTGGTGATGTCCCAACCTGGAATGTTAGTCTCTTTATGATAATCTTCTCTGTTCAATGTTTCATTTCACTCAATGAAATCCAGCTTTGTTGACCCTAATTTATAAAACACTATTTATACGTTGATATTTAAATTTGTTGTTTTTGAAGCAAGATGGTACTTGTAAAGATAAGAAAGTTCCTTTATTGATTATCAGGAAAAATCTTCTGTCATATGTCAGGTTGCAGCATCTAATTGCAGCCAGAATCCACCTACAGGATTTGCTTTGATCAGACCTCCTGGGCATCATGCTATTCCAAAAGGGCCTATGGGCTTTTGTGTTTTTGGCAATGTGGCCATTGCAGCTCGTCATGCTCAACTAGTGCATGGATTAAAACGAGTCTTTATCATTGATTTTGATGTTCACCATGGGAATGGGACAAATGATGCATTTTATGATGATCCAGATATATACTTCCTGTCCACTCACCATGTAAGCTATAATTTATCTGGAGTTAATACATTTTTTTGTTGCTATTCACATGAATTTTATATTTAGACACTGATTTGGAATGTCTGATGTTGGAAAGAAAAAAAATCTAGTCAAGTGGATATCTCAAGCATATATTTGATTATAATAAGTTTTTGTTTCCCTGTTGAAGAACTGTAGATAATCAAGTGATTATGAAAATAAATTAACCTACCATACTAGTTTGTATGGGAGCTTTAGTAGGAATTTTAAACAGTGATGAGTGCATGTGTTGTTACCTCAAATGTTCAACACATCCCCTTTTCAAGATAAAAGGAGTCATAAAATCTTAGCTCACCAGGTGTGAAATGTCATTCTATGTCAGTGGTTAAAGATTGTTTAGGTTTGACATTTTTCCCCTGGCAAAAAATTGAGGTTTGACGAAAAATGATGTGATATAAAAAGCATCTTTTCTTTTATTTATTTATGTTTTTCCTTTCACTTTCGGTAATTAGCTTTATGTTCGAGGTAGAAATTTTAAAACTTAAAATAATGAAAGCCGTCTTGTCTTTAGAGTATTTGTTTTAATATCTGCTGTGTACCAACTGATGTTATCTTGCTCCCTGTTTCCTGATCTTAGTCTGTCCATTTATTTTGAGTTCTTTCTGTGTTCTCATTCTACTAAGGACTGTTTGGTTAAATTTTCAAATATTTTATTGTTAAAAGTGAGAGAAGATCAGGAGAAACATTTCGATTCTCAAAATGGTAAGATACACAAATGATATTAGGATAAGGGAGTATATATGCATATCAAAAGACATGCTAAATGGCAGAAAATATGTGATTAACTGATCATTATACTTAGCCAACGCAGCAAGATTACTTGTAGCATGTTCTTGGAGTTTGCCTGCCCAATGCCATAATTCCAGCTGGATCTCTGCTGCTGGATATGAACATGGACTAACACAAAATGTGCCCACTAACCACTTGAATCCTATTTTTCTCTTAACGGGCATAGGATGGAAGCTATCCAGGTACTGGTAAAATTGACGAGATAGGTCATGGAGATGGTGAAGGTACAACTTTAAATCTGCCTCTACCAGGAGGCTCAGGTGACATTTCCATGAGGACTGTGTTTGATGAAGTCATCGTACCAAGTGCTCAAAGGTTCAAGCCAGATATTATTCTTGTTTCTGCTGGGTGAGTTGCCATCCTTAACTTTGCAACAGATTTCCTTGTTTCACTGAAAACTGTGTTTTCCAAAATGATGCGATGTAGCATGCATCTGGAAATTGCGTGTTTATTTTAGTTGTTTGATCCTTTTTTCATGGATAAAGTCATCTTTATGCTTTGCTGCAGTTTAAATGTCATGGAACATGCTTTTGTGCAGACCATGCATCTGCATCAGTTATTTGTTAATGATTCAAGTCTTTCATAAGCAATCTGATCAAATTCTAAATAGCAAATTTAGTTGAACTAAATATATATATGATGGTCTTAACGTCTCGTAATTGAGGTTTGGAACTGTGTTTCTACTATTAAAAATAATAACTGAACAAAGCATGTATTGCGAATTTTTTCCAGGTATGATGCTCATGTTCTGGATCCACTGGGGAGTCTTCAATTTACAACGGGAACATACTACACGCTTGCCTCTAATATTAAGGAACTGGCAAAAGATCTATGTGGAGGCCGATGCGTGTTTTTCTTGGAGGGAGGATACAACCTGGATTCTCTTTCTTATTCAGTAACGGACTCCTTTCGAGCTTTCCTTGGTGAGAAGAGTTTGGCATCTGAGTTTGATAACCCTGCCATCTTGTACGAAGAACCATCAACAAAAGTGAAGCAAGCGATCCAGAGAGTTAAACACATACATTCCCTCTGAGGATCGATGTCTCATCATTACAAGAGCGTCTCGAAGTAGCCTTGCTGCTCACTAGTAAGCTATTTTCAGCATATTCTGTAATCACCGCAGTCTGAAAAAACCTGTTACTGTTCTTGTATAGTATCATCTTAACATGCATATGCCTTCAGTGATAAGATTGTCGATTACTGACATTAGCTGGTAAAATTACATTGTTCTGAAAAAAGATTATGCTTCATATTTAGATGAATGCATTTTCCCATCTCTTTCAAGATATGGAAAGATCGGAAAATGTGATTATTGATTTTACCTTCATCCAATCCAACGAAAAAGAACACTCAATTCTTTCATTCCTTCATTCATGCTTTCTGCTTTGACCTTTCCCTTCCACCCCAAATACGGTTTGCACTAAAAAAACAACACTAATTGACAGGATAGCGATCTTTTTCTTACTTTTGACGTGAATTGATTGGTAAACCAGAACACAGTACAAAGCTAGCTACTGTGGTCTAATCACATGAATGGCATTGACAAGGACTGCAATTAAGAGCTATACTACCCTACTTTCTCAAAGTTGTTTCACCGACCCTAGCAAATTTATACTTTTGTAACGAGTCAACAGCCCTTGATCAAGGAATTACTGTTTTTCATTTTTATGCTTAATATTTTTGTGATTCAATGAATGGAAAGACTACCATTTTCTTTGCTGGATAGACTTTTTTCTCGCGTTGCCGTTTAACAGAATGTTTAAAGATTTTATAGCAAGTTCACTATTTAACACAATCTCTAATTACAGTAACAGAAGGACCTAATTAAGGAACGATAGATAGATGGGGGACTCAATCGAGAAAGGATACATACATGAGGACGAATATGAAGTATGCCCAAATAATAATTAAAAAAAAGAAGAAAAAAAAGAAGCATATATCACCTCAGGACACCTCTTCAAATGGGTTAAAAAAACTCAGCAAAGTTACCATTTCAGTTGCCTGGAAAGGCCCGCTTTTCAAATCATTCTTGCAAGAACAGGGGTAGATATACACGAACAGGCGGTTAAAAAGGGCATCGATTTCATATGTCAAAGCTTGACACGATAAAGAGAAAACTTGAACAAATGTCACGTTAAAGAACTTTCAGACATCTAACAAGCAGCTAAATTCCCACTACTTTTCGATCTCTACGAGCATTCATTGCTGAGAGATGAGCTTCAAGCTCCATGATCGTTAAGCTGTGTAGCATATGCCTAACTAGCAACTTCTTGTGCTACTTAGAAGTGACATGCCAACCTTTAGTAAGTTGCAATCATGGGTTTGTGGTAAAGATTGTAAAGCCATGAAATGATGCTCAATTTGTTGAGTGGATAGTATTGTGATTGGGATATATCTTTGTCTTTCTATTACATTTGTCTCCATCTCCATGTTTGGTAAAGATCATAATCATCAAACAAGCATGTTATGAATTTTGAATTCAATTACCTTATACTAAGGTGTTTGTTTCCCGGGTGTACCGCTCTTTCAAAATACCTTTCAAAATTTATTTTATTTAAAAAGATTTTATATTGATTTTTATGTGTTCTTTTTATAATTTTAATGGGTTAATATTAAAAATAAAAAAAGATTATTTCATTATACTTTTAATTGAAAAGCACCGTAAAGCAGCATGCTTTATAAATTTACATCAATATATTAATAAGAAGATGGAATTCAATTTGCAAGGAATAATTTATGGAAGTAAACAAATTCGGTGGTGGACTTGCTAGCTAATTCGGTTGGTGAACTTTGTTTGGTGTTCAGTTCGAGAAAGAAACATGGTAAAGTCATCTTTATACCTAAGACGGGATGGATTAGGAGAGCTCAGGAGAAGAATTCTCCATCATCATGCCATCTAAAATCACCTAATATTCTCATGGAGAAAAGAAAAAGCATCCTCCAACACAATCATTAATTAATCTGACATGAAAAAATCTTGAGAAATTAGGAACGATTGCCCTTTCTTGCCTCGAGGCGACCAGGGCTCAGGTTGAATCTGGGCTTGGATTCCCCTGGTCGTCTAATTCCATTGACTAAAACTAACTTCAGCTGTAAAACATCTAAACAGGCAATCAATCTCATCTCATTGTTGCGTTGGAAATACGTTTTCTCAGGAAAGTTATAAAGAAAAGCTTTGACCAGCAGTGCCTCAATGATTTATTTTCAAAGGCTGATCTACAATTTCTTCAAGTTGCTTAAGGCAATGAAAACCTAGCTAGCTAGGTAGTGAGCCCATCGTCGAATACCCACCTCAAGAATAAAAAGGTGGCATAGCTGTTGTTTGTTTTCTTCTTGCTGTAGTCATCCCTTCGTAGTCCGTCTCTTTTTGAAAAAAATTGTTTTTAATGTGAAAAAAATTATATTAAATTGATGATTTTTAAATGTTTATTTGTAGTTTAAGAAAATGTTTATAAAAAATATCATTTGATGTATTTTTAATTAAAAATCACATGTCAAAATCACTTTGTATCATGTTACTAAACACATAGTTACTTTAAGAAATAGAAAATATAGATATAAAAACTTTATGCACTAACATTTTATGTAGATTAAAATTTCTTGCAAGAGAAAATATTTAGATTTATCCTATTGAGGAGATTTTGTTTGGTGGTCTCCGAGTAGGACTCATTAAGAGTGAGTCAAACTCACTAGATCTCAGCCTTTCTCAATAAATTTGAGGATTCTAGACAAGATACATTACACTTACCTAAACGCCCATGCATCAAACATTTATCACAATTTCAACACTTAAGATTCATAACTCACAGTTATAATTAAATTGCAAACTCTTTCTAACAAAAGCTAAATAGTATAGAAAAATCAAATCAAGAGATATTTTATTATAGATTATAATAATAGTTTTACTTTTAATTTCACATCTTTTCATGAATAGATAAATATTTTTTTGACTTTTTCCGTAGATTTTTTCAAGTTTCAAGTACAAGCAAAGAACGCTTTTAGTTTCACAAAAGGCAAAAAAAGAGATTTTTTTTTGTGGGTATTTTAGTTTTTTTGGATATTTTATGTAATTAAAAGGACCATGAAAACGTTTTAATATTTTCATATAATATTTTTTATTTTTTAATTAAAAGATTACTAGAGCATGTTTCACACGTTCTAGTAAGTGAGCAATGCCTATACCATTAATGAGGCATATGATATTCTTTTCAGTGGCCAAATCTGGCCAAAAGTTGTATCATTCGATGTGTAATTGTATCCTTTTTTATATTGAGAGGCACGTGTGGACATCATTATTAGATTACCGTTGATAATCAATTGTTTGTATTTTTTTTTTCTTTTATCTAAAATACACCATTATTCTCTCTTTTTTTTTGTTGGTTTGGGTCTGGCATGAATTACCAGACCCGAATACCTTGAATGTGGCAACCATGTTTGATGTCAGACTTTAGTGCGAATCTGACATATCTGTTAGACCCAAGTAAACTTAAAAAGAAAGAGAGGATATAGTTTTTATTAAAGCAATAACAAATTCATAAATATAAAAAATACACTATTTCAATAGGAAGATATGATTTGAATTTTTAGATTTATAATGCTAATTAGATTTTTGTTATGATTTGTTATTTATAAATAATTTCTGAACTTATATTTCTGTTTAGGATACTTCAAATATAGTTTAAATATTTTTTATAAAAAATAAAAAACTAATTAAAATTTATATTTAAAATACTTTAAGGATAATTTAAATTTTTTTATAAAAAATATACAACAAATTTTATCATACTTAAAGATTTTGTGTCTTACATTGCCTCCAAGTCAAAGTCGTTTGGATCATGCATGGTTTCCAAATTCAATTTATTTGGATCTGACATGATTATTAGATTTAAAATACTTAAAATATTTTTTATATTTTAAAAAATATTAATTTGTTGTGAAACATGAGTTAATGTACTAGTTATTTTATAAAGGGCCTTTTCGACAAATCACTCTCCCATCCTTGAAAACCTTTCAATCCAACCTCTATTGTGTTTTTATGTTTTTTTTTTTAAGGATTTTTTTGATAGAGTTTCTGATTCTAATTTTAGACATTTTTTAAAATTATTTTTAATTTGAAAAAAATATTAAATTGATATTTTTTAATATTTCTTAATAATTTTAATGGTTTGATGTAAAATATAAAAAAATTATTATAAATTTTTAAATAAAAAGCTATTTTAAAAAACTCCATGCATTTCAATCTCAAACATCTTTTCCCTCTCTCTAGTATCTGGTTTTTATCTTAATATTGTCAATACACAACATGTATTCACTCGTATACACCCTTGAAGAACCCTCCTATCATCATTTTGGATCTTTCTAAGATCTGGAGATTGATGTTAAGAAATTAAGACTGTAAGGAACAAAAGGACATATATATATATATATATATATATAAATTATAATAATTGAAACATTGAATTTTCCATTGAATGATGGTAGTTAATCAAATGGAGTAACTTGGGGCGCCTGCGTACTTCACTATTGCTGAGGTCTCTTCTTTTTGCGTATTATGATTCTTTGATAGAAAATGATACAAATTAGGAAAAAAGATAAAAATATAAAAAACATAATAGGTACAATTATACATTTAAGACTTTATTGGAGACATCCTTTAAAATATAAAGATAAATGAGCTCCTTAGGGCATTTTTTATATCAAAATACATATCATTATTTAATTTAAAAACTTAAAGAATAAGGGAAATCTCAAGAATCGTTCTATATTAACTTTATAACATGCATTGATCTATAGTTATTTTATGTTGAATTCGATATACATCAATCATTTTAAATTTTAAGATATTAAATACCTCCAGCACTAAAATATTATATACAAGTACATTTAATTGGACACTTCAAACTTATTTTTTTAATAGTCAAGGAAACATTATTTCATTCAACAAAATCATGGTAGTTTTGTTGAGATGTGGAGTCGCATATGACTCGCACATCCACACAAACTAGCTTCTCAATGTACAAAAACACTAGTCAATAGACCGCATTTTGCAGCGGGTTGGAAAAATAAGATTAATGAAAAAAAAAAGGAATAAGTGTTTTTACCGTGTGTTTTTCCATGAGAAAAATAAATAATTGTATATATCTAATTCAATAAAGTGAAAAATCATATGTGAGAATAAATAAAAATATAATTGTTAACAACAGTTAAAGACTAAATTAAAAAATTAAAAAATATATTCATATAAAACAGTTAAAAAACATTATTAAACCCTCAAAAAAATAAATATATATATCCAATTCAATTAAGTGAAAAATCATGTGAGAATAAATAAATAAAATAATTGTTGACAGCAATTAAAGACAAAATTAAAAAAATAAAAGATATATTTATATAAAACAGTTAAAAAACATTATTAAACTCTCAAAGAATCTATCTATCAACTCTAAAAACCCAAATTCCAATTAAAAAACACAAAATCAACTTGAAACAACTTTCTTCTCTAATTGGATCTATTTTTTTAATAATATAAAAAGGTATAGTTAAAAACATTATTAAACTCTTAAAAAATCTATCTATCAACTCTAAAAATCCAAATTCCAGTTAAAAAACACAAAATCAACCTAAAACAACTTTCTTCTCTAATTGGATCTATTTTTTTAATAATATAAAAAGGTAAAAAAAATACTTTAATTGAGCTCATTGACACTAAAAACAAATATTTGATTGTTAGAATGTAGTGTTTTTTTGTTTTGTGAATTTAAAAATTAAAATATAAACAAAATAAATTAAAGCATAAGCCTCTCAAACTCAAGGGACGAAATTCAATTTTGACAAAAACTTAAGGCAAAAAATAAGGAAATTTTTTTGACAAAATAGTGGTAAAAAAAATCCTCAATTCTTTCCTCAAAGTCAATTTTAGTTCACTTGTTTTAGTTTTTTATTACAAAAAGCATGAGCATCTTTTTCATAAAATTAAGTAGCAAGCCAATGCTAAAATGTATCCATGAGACCTTGCCAAAATGCATCTATGAGACCTTGAGAACCCTCGGTCAAGTTTATAGTGATAAACTATCATATTCAATTGTGAATTAATCTAACATTGAAAAATTGAATTGAAAAAAAAAATTTACATAATTTAAAATGAAAAAACTAAAATTGACATTGTATGAATTAGCAGTGTCAGATATGAATCCAAAATAGATAAAATCTAAATTATTTCAATACACTAATATTAAAAAGAAATTATAAAAAATATAATTTTAAATAAAAAAACACTTTAAAACATCAATTAAAATTTTGGCTCAGCTGGTAAAATCAGCATTTTGTATGAATACATGATAAATGTGTATGGCGTTGGACACTGCGACCATGGTGTAAGGTCATGTCAGTCTTGTAAATGGTCAATGGAGCATTAGCCTGTTTACCGAATTACAGCTAAAATTCTCCACTTCTTTTCGGTGGTGAAAGCTACGCAAGCAGTAGCCATCATGACCACGGCGCAACACTAGCAAGCATCCTCATCTCTAGCTTTTGTAAGACAGAGATACTACACCAATCAAACCTAGACCGCTCACCCCAACCATGGTCATCGTCTCTACTAGAACTAGCCTTCATCTGGGAGCTTCTACAATGGCTTTGTTTAAAAAACTAATATCCAGCACAAAACAATGGAGTTTTGAATTAAAATTTGTTATTTAGTAGCCTGTAATTGTAAAGGACTATATATCTTTAAGAAATAGTCTTAGTATATCACCCCTAATTAAATTCTCTTACAGTTTTATTATAAGCAGGGGTTTTTATACGATCATATATAGATGTATTTATAAGTATAGTATTGTTAACATTAAAAAAAAAAAAAAACTCGTAATAATGGACTTGTTATTGGATCCCACATTTTGATAAATGATCCAATAACTTATAAGCATTCTTATGGTTAACATTAAAAAAAAAAACTCTTAATAATGGACTTATTATTGGATCCCACATTTCAGTAAATGATCCAATAACTTATAAGCATTCTTATTTATTTATTTATTTTAATTTTTCCTGTTATAATTTATTTTTTTTGTAATAGTTTTGGAATGATATTCCTTCAATTTAATAGTTGTAGAATCTACACGACCTGTGTTGACTCCAAGTGGTAGAGTAGCACATTGATATCTATCAGATAGTGTTGAAATCGTCACTCCACTTCCAAGCTACATGCCTGATCTCTTCGATAGATAAATAAATAAATCCAAGGTAGTGTAATGGGATGACATCACGTTGTCATCACATCTTGCTAATATTTTTGAATGGTGATAGCATATTTTTGGGAAAGCAATTAATTAATACATATCACTGTGAAGGGATCATGTCCAACGTGCAATGCCTAATCCATTATTTTCATCACTTAATTGCCTGTTTAAGATAATGAAAATTACCCGACATACCGAATTGCTTTAATTAATTACCTTAATCAATTCATTTAATGTAAAGGCCTCAATTAATCACGCATAATCCATTTGCAGCCGCCTTTTCACCCTTGACCCATATCTAATTCCTGAGTCATAGTGCAGCAATCAGTGTCTTCTCTTCTCACTCATCACGACTATATATGTCAAGGCCATAGGATAGCCACAAGCAGGCATTATCCCGAGTAACTTAGCAAAGAAAACCAAGGTTGCCTTGAGTGTTTTTCTCGGCTTCTGTTGATTAGACATGGGCGATCATGGCTGCAGCGGAAACCTTCCTCCTGGATTTATTTTCAGCCCATCTGATGAAGAGCTCATCCTTCACTTTCTCGATCGCAAGGCCTCTCTCTTACCTTGCCAGCCTGACATCATTCCCGATCTTGGTCTTTATCCTCAGGATCCTTGGCAGCTTGAAGGTAAATAATTAATTTATCCCTATACATCTTGATTGTTCTTTTTTTCTCAACCTTTTCCTTCTTTCTCCTTTGATTTTTCTCCTCATAAGTTATGTATTGCATTCTAGATCAAGCGAAGGTTTATTTTCATTTCCTTATAAACAAAGAGGAAACAAAAAACAAGAGAGTTGCATATATTGGTTCAAAGAAATAGCTAAGTAGTCGCTATCTTTTTGAGTGGACAGGCAGGGCTCTGTCGAGTGAAAACCAGTGGTACTACTTTAGTCGAGTGATGGAGAACCAAGCAACAGGAAATGGGTTTTGGAAGCCATTAGATATTGAAGAGCCTATATTTAGTTCCAGTGCTGGTAAGAAGGTTGGATTAAAGAAATACCTTGTGTACTGCATTGGTCCCGAAGGTGTAGAAACAAATTGGATGATGCAGGAATATCATCTTTGCAGTAGCAAGTCGAGTGGCAAATCCTACAAGAGAAAGCAAAAATTAGTAAGTAAAATCTTTTAGTTTCTTTTTTATATCCACATACGTACATCATCAATTATAACTAATCAATCTAATATTATGATTTTTAATTGTCTGGTGCAGGATTGCAGTAAATGGATCCTATGTCGAGTTTATCAGAGGGAAGGAAGCTGTTCCAGGAGTTCAAACCACAGTGATGATGATGGAACCGAGCTTTCATGCCTTGATGAGATGTTCTTATCAATGGATGATCTTGATGATATAAGTTTTCCAAATTAGTTTTTGAGTATTGTTTCGGCTTATATGTTAATGAATCATGTGTAAACACGCACATCTTAATTTATATGTTTAATTTAGATCAAATTAACAATGTTCTTGGACGTTTTGTTTGTGGGAGACTTGTTCTGTTGTGATGATGTTTCGAAATTCATCATTTTTTTAGTTTTAAAAATATAATGAGGTATTAATATTAATGTCAATTTTCACATACGGAAATCGAGATTCAATTCTTGGTTGTAAGATCTTCGACGCACTATCCGCAAATCTAACTAGCACACAATATTTTATTTTCTAACACGTTGCCTAGTGCCCTGCCACCACTATATTTATGGTCCTGCATGGCTTCCTTTGCTCCCACCATTTCCTGCTTCTAGTTTGGGAAAAACAATCTCTCTTTTTTTTTTAAAAAAAAAAAAAAGTATAATGAGACGTATCCTTGATATTTATTTATCTCATTTATTTCAAGATAATAATTAAATACTATTTTATTATGTACATTAGACTTTTTTTTTAAAAAAAATACTATTTTAAACATATATATACCTAAAAAATATTTATGTATATTTTTTAACGTCTTTTGACCCCCTTGTAGATGTACGGTATCATGCTAGAGCTCGACGTTGTTGCAGGAAATGGAATGAGTGGTGAATCAAAAGGAAGCTTGCTTGCACACGCATCAGAACACCACTATATTGGGTAGCTTTAAATATGGGCCCAATCCCAAAAATAATAAAAAGAAATGGTAAAGCTGATAGATGAAAAGGAGAGGTTTTTGAGGTTTTGTTTATTTATGATAGATTTTTTTTTATTTTTTTAATAAATATAAAATTAAAAAAACACATTTATTAATTGAAAATAAAATATTCTTTATTTTGTTTTTAGTTCCTTGGTTTTCTAGATCCCAAAAACATCAAATCGAATAAAAATAATAATTTTGTTTGCTCCCTCAAGTATTTATGGTCATTTCTTTTTATTATTATTTTTATTTAAATCAAACAATAGATTTATCTTTTGTTTTGAGAAGATATTTTTTAATAAACATGTTTCTAAGTTTTTCTTATTTATTTTTATAATTAATAAATAAAAAAATAAAAAAATAATTTTTTTTTTTAGAATTAATAAATAAAAAAAAAAATTTAAAAATAAACACGATTATTTCCACATCATTTTAAAAGTTTAGATCACCAAAAACCTATTGAATTTGAAGTAAACATGCACCCATGAATACTCCGTTCACGATTATTTTTTAAAAATGATGATTTTAATAGTTTAGATCACCAAAAATCTATTGAATTTCAAGTAAACATGCACCCATGAATACTCCGTTGAAAATCATATCAATTTAAAAGTTTAAGTTGTTATATAAAATTTTAGGATATGATTTATATTATTTTCTAACATATTCCTTTAAAAAAAAACTTTTTGAGTTTGAAATTTACATATATTTACACTACTTTGTATTTAATTTTTATCAAATAAATAAAGATGTTATGATTCAAATTTATGACCGTTTGGTCATCAAAGCTCTGATGCCATATTAAAAAACAAAATTCAACCCAATAACTTAAGTTTTTAAATAAAATTTTAAAATATAATTTATATTATTCTCTAACAATTTTTATATTAATTATTATAACAAAATTCTATCAAACAATATCCAACTTACATACTCCCTAAACAATAAGTAGCTAATGAAAAAAATCAAATTATAATTTATTTTCAAACTAGAGGAGGACATAAATTCTCTTATGCTCAATTTATAGAGAATTACAATTAAAACAAAATTGAAAGAAATATTTTTGGCATATTTTGAAACAAAATAGAAATAAGTTTCAATTGGCTATCATTATTTGTACCGGCCAGCCACTTACTTTGAATTCAGGAAAGGGCTCAATTTAAATGTCCAACCACCAAGTCGCCGGCCACAATAAAAAAATCTTGTTTCTATATGTTTGGATTCAGATAATTATAATTAGGGATGCGTCCATTGCCTGCTCCGAAAGGTGGGAAGACAATTACCTTGTTGAAATAAAGTAGAAACAAACAAAAATAATATTCGAAGAAGTTTATAACCAGAGACAAGATGTTTAATATCCTCATGATATTGCCGGAGGAAAATCATCAAGAGAAGAAACAAAGTACTAAATAATTATATAATTTGTATTTTAAAATTCACGTAATAATTCAAGATTTTATATAAGATTGTTATATTACATGGTATTAAAATTTTGATAATTAAATAATCATGAGTTTAAATATTATAATATTTATTTTATTTGATAAAAGTTAAACATAAAAATATGTAAGTCTATGCAAGTTTTAAAATTAAAAGATTGTTATTTAAAAAAATATATTAAATTTTTTTATAAATTATAACATGAGATTTTACTTCTTATTTTTAAATTAAAATATTTATATATAAATAATTTACCTCAATTATAATATTTACCAAATTAAAATTAAAACTCATATAGAAATAAATTATAGCTGTTAAGCATGACTTGATTTAACAAGTTTACTTATGAAATTTGGGATCTAAAACTTGATTTGTTTATGAATTTTTAATTGAATTGAATGAGATATTAACCTAAATAACTTAACTAATTTTTTAATAATTCGGTTAAACTTACTCAACCTAGTTGAATCAACATAAAAAAAATATAACAATATTTTAAAAAAAATAATTGATTCATGTTAACACTGTAATCAGCATGTTAACACAATAATTAAATAACCCATGTCATTTTCCAGGTTAGTCTAAGAGATTAGTTTGATAACCATAAGAAGAACAGGCAGAGCAACATAGTTAATTAGAATATGTGCAACAATGGTGAAGGACCTCATGAATCATGATGAACTAGCTAGCACGCATATACATTTTTGTAAAAAAAAAAGTTTTATGTCAAGATTTATGTACCTTTATTACATTTCACGAAGTGATGCATGCTGCTTCAGTCGGCAAAGAAGCCTTTGGTGGCCTGTGAAGGCATTTATCATCCTGTGTCTGTTTATTCTTGAACTTCTCATCTTCGAAACCTATCCAGTGAAATACATTATTGATCAAAACTCCTGGTTTCACCACTGGCAAATGGGTAGTGTTCTGTAAAACCTTCCAGGATCCGGAATCGTAAGGATCCACCTTCAGGTATAGCGAGTATTTCACATCTGAAATCACAAATTGAAATTTCAGAATCGAAAAGGTGAACTAGTTTGTACTCTGTGATTGTATTCCTGCTGTAATAACAGCTGCTTTGTACTTTTTAATGATCGGTTTTGTAGCCAGTTCACACAATATGATGAGAAGGAGATTTTGCTGTAGATTGCCAGCCATTCTTTGCCTAGCCTAACCTAGCAATCAGAAAATATATGGCAATTTCTCTATCTCTTTGTTATCGCTTTTTTTTCCTGCACATGTTATTCTTCTTTGTTCAGATTCGGCTTTTCGATTCCCCTTTGCCGTTCGGATTTTTAGTGTTTGATTTCACCTTTTAATTTTCAATATTGACTTAATCTCTGTGCTTCGAAGCTAATTTAGAAATCATCATGGATCTCTTTCTCCTCTACATTTAGAGATCCTGCCTGACTAGACCAGTTTATCAGTCAAAACCGATTGGATGGATTGATATTTTCGATGAGCTTTTTCAGGTTTCCTCAGCTATATATATTCTAATGTTCCAGACTGGCTTCTATAGTTTTTGCATTGAAAATCATAGCTTTCCTTTCCCTTCTCCTTGCGTGTTCAATGATATGTTTGATTACAAAGAAAACCAGAGAAAAGCAATGTCATTGAACGTGTCGAAGCCCTTAAACAGGCATCATTGAACATACTTAAATTAGTTTTAAGAATTTCCAGACAACATTGTCTTGTTAATTGCTGGTTTTAGTCACACCTGCACTTGTCCTGCAGCATGCTGCGTATGTATTCATTCTTTCGAGACCAAAACTGAAATGGTGATTGTGTCATCGGGTTTACCTTGGGGTGGGATGGGCAGTGCAGTGATCAAGTTTAGTGACTCGCACCTTTTGATTTACGCACAGGTTTTTTTCCTTGAAATATTGTTATTTTTATTCATTTCTTGAGCTCAGAGTATATGCTTAAACAAGTACTTTATTCCTTGTTATTGCTTTTCAGATTACTAACTAAAATCAAGCCTCTTGAAATGAGATTAAAATTCGGCACTCGTTTCGCAGAAAGATTCTGATAATGGAGGTGAATTTTCTGAAAAATTGATTCCCGTAAGGTTAAGTAGGCTTATATCAATAACTTCAACGTGCATCTTGTTATCACTGTTTCTTTTTCTTTTTTTGAAGAATTTAATTTTTCTATTCATTATTATTAGGCTTTTTAGTTTTTTTATTTGAGGAAAATAATTTTTAGATCATTTGTTAGCATTATGTTGTGGTCACGTCAAATTTTGTTAATGTAAACAAAAATATTCATGCATTTTTGCTGATGTTTTTTATAATACAAAAAAATTTCAAATCATGTGGAGACTAATTTAATGCTACTCAATCAATTTGGTAAATCTAAAGACAACTTAGACAACATGCAAAAACGTAATTTGACTTAAAATAAATATTAAATATGAGATTTTTTTTATATATAAATATTGAGATTCCAACATATTAGTTTAATTTGGGTCAATCAAAGTTAACTTGTCAATTTGCTTGCCAACTTATGAGATCATAATAAACTCATGAAAAATAAAATAAAATAAATTATGAAGCTCAAATTTCAATAAATAAAATATTAAAGGATTAAATTTTAAAAAATCAATTAAAAATAGAACAAAAAATAACTTGATTCAACTAGGGTTAACCTGTGACTTGGGTCATGAGACCGAAATAACTTATAGAAAGAAAATTAAAATAAATTATAAAGAAAAATTTGCAATCAACTTAGTATTGAAAGATAAATTTAAAAAAAAAATATAAAAACAACTTAAGTTAACCCACTAAATCATGACTCGAATCAAAAGCAAGAATAACCTCACAAAAAGCCAATTGAAACAAATAATAAAGTTTATTTCTCATTCAAACTTAATGTTAAAAAATAAAATTACAAAAAAAAATCAATTAAAAAAATTAAAAAAATCAAGTCAATTAAG